TTACCATCTAATGTGGCCCCATGAACAGATCATGGCTACTGATTTTTGTATTTTTAGGGTTAACATATTTAGAGAAATCAGAACTTAGACTTAGCTATAGGTTGCAGTGCTGAGTAGACGTAACCCTGGAGAATTTGTCCAGATTACATAGATAGAAATTAAAAATCAGATTTATCTATAGCTTCAGTTGGGTCCATTTACTAGAGAATCAGGTGCATATTATGTTTTCTGTGGGAGGGCTAAATTGTTTTACACGCCCTATAGTATGATGCTAACTTTTAATTCTGCATTTTTTGTACTTGTATGTGTGTGGCATCTCAGGGTTATGATACAGTCTACTACATAAAGTCACCACAACAGTCCCTTTGTGTGACTAGTGAGCTGACCACAAATGGTTGGTTCAGTTGGTTCCTCCTAGGCAGTATTGCTTCATTGGGCTCGCTGTGACAATGTCTTGCGTTGTTAGAACCGTGAAAGTTCTAATAACAAGCCTACCAACTCTGTTCCCAGAGCTCTTTTACAAGGAGCTGCTTGGAACCTGGTACATGAAATAATGACAGAGGGTCAGGTCCCAGGCAGCTGGCACCTGGGGCCAAGTCAAGCATTTATAGAGCGATTTTCACACCAGTTCCCCTCCAGCCTTTCCATGAAAATGTGCAATATTCCAGAGTGGTTAAGACAGACTTGGGTTTGATCCTTGGCTGAGTTACTTACTAGCTGTGTAATCTTGGCTAAGTTACTTACCCTCTCTGAACCTCAGTATCCTAGATGTTAACAAGTCCAGGGACCGATCTTGGCTCTGCCACTGAGACTCTGGGATGGGAAGGCTGCACCAGGGGATCTGAGAGGTCTCTAACAAGCTCTAATAGTTTATGGTTTTATGGCCCTTTCATTCCATTGAGAAACAAACTGAAGTGATTATGTTCTCTTTCTCAAGAGAGAAAACAGCTAGAAATGCCTACTCCTTTTGGTTTTTAAAAATTCGTTTCAGACAAGCCCTCACTGTGGCAGCTAGAGGTAGCACTGCTTTCTCTTTTCTGATTAGTGTCTTGGGTGGGTGCTGTGGCAGGAAGGCTGGCGTGCACGTGGCTGTGCCTGGGCCGAACTGAACAGCGGTGTTCCAGGCCTTGCAGAACCATCTGAGAGAAGGCTGGAGCTGAGGCTCTCTCCTGTCCTTACCTCTGCTTCTTAGAGACTGAGCCCTGCGTCATTCCTTTGCAACAGACCTGACTGGGGTGTGCGTGTGCGTGCGTGCGTGCGTGCGTGCGTGCGTGCGTGCGTGTGCGTGCGTGCGTGTGTGTGTGTGTGTGTGTGTGTGTCTCAAAGGCACACAGCTGGAGAAGAAGGTCAGGGAATGTGTGAGTATGAGAAAGAGTAGAGCGGAAGGAAGGGCAGCAGCGCAGGACCCCAAGGGGAGAGGGCCATCGACAGAGCCACATAGCCCAGGCCTTATCACAAGCATCATTCTAACCGAAATGCCCCCAGGTCTGGCCAAACCTGCGAGACAGGAGAAAACCTAGGTGAGACACCCCAGGAAGCCAGGAGCTGCCTGGGTCTTGCTCAGTCAGGCTCTGGGCCTGGGCCTGGCCTGGAGCCAACCTGTTACTATCTGGCTGGGAACAAGCTGGTGAGTAAAGCTTCAGATAAGCGGCCATGACTCCCTCAGTCCCCTGGGGAAGGGCATGCTGTAGGCTGAGAAGCCTAGACAATGAGGAAAAGAGTGGATGGCTCTGAGGTTGCAGAATGAAAGATGTAGAAGCTGCCAACATTTGAGTGCAAAGGTGCTTAATTGCAAAGGTGTTTCTGGCTGAGTGATGTCCCCAGGAACAAAGAATCTGTTGGGCAAGAGCATAGAAGAAGGTTTTGTTTTCCAGAACCAAACCTGCCCTTAAGCTCTCCAAACAGGCCTGATAAGAGCTCTCTGCTGATTGGCTGAGAGAGACAGTCTGCCTTTCCCTCCCAGCTTAGTCTAGTACCAGGAAAGGGAAGGGCTCTGTTTGTCCCTTTGGATTCCACAATCTCAGCTGGTGAGGCCTAGTGTGGGAACTCAGTGGTCAGATGGGTCATAAGGAACCTGTTACTGACAATCAATACCAACATTTGGGAGGGCTTTGTTTTAAAAGAAAAAAAAAGTAAGGCCGGCCGAGTGGCTCAGTTGGTTAAGAGCTTGCTCAAGAGTGCAAGCTCTAAGCAACAGGGTCGCCAGTTCGATTCCCAGCCCGAGCTGAGCTGCTGTTGAGCTGCCAACAGGTGGCAGGATGGCTCAGCTACACACACACAAAAAAGTAAATTATAGCACATTCAAGTTATCTCCGTAATAAAATAGCTGCCATTCCCTCCCAAGCAGGTGTGCTTTCAGGTGGGAGAAAAAGGGGTTGAGTGTGTGCAGGAGTCTTGGCCTGTGACTGTGAGGACGCAGGGGATCTGAGCCATTTGAGGTGCCAGGAGTAAGGCCGTGCCCCTGGGTCTTTGCACAAACTCATCTCCATCAGGGACCCGCTGGTAACTCAGTTTCCTAACTCCCACGTCCACCTGGTAAGCTATTACACATTCTTAAAGATGCAACACTGAAGTGCCCACCTCTGCCCAACGTTCCCCTTCTACTTCGTGCTGACTCAGTTATGCCACCTTAGTTTAGTATCCCCATAGCCCTTCATGTGCCTCTTAGCACCCCGTGGTATTACCACAGTAACTGCACAGCCCATGATTTTCACTGTGTTTCTGATTTCAGGTACTTTGTTATGTTGGTCCCATAAATTCTCACAACGTTCTAGGAATTTTGACCTTGACAGATGCTTCCTCTCAGAGAAATCCTGTGTCAGACCTTACGTGCTGGTTTTAGAAGATAGAGCTGGTGGGCACTGGATGAACCCCAGTGCATTCACGCATCTGCCACCTCCCCCAGGCTGAGTTCCTGGTGGTCAGGGACCAGAGTGTTCCAACTGCCCCCCCTCCCCCAGTCTAGCTCTGCGACCAGCACGGAGTAGAGTCTCTGCCATTGTTGGCTGCCCCATAGGACATAATATCACATGCCTGATTGCATTGAGCTTCCACAATAGCCCTGAAATATTATGACTTTTGTCCCCATTTTACAGAGGAGAAAATTGAGGCTCAAAGGAATTAAGTAATTTTCTCATGAGCAAACAGCTAACAAGGGGTGGATGCAAACCTAGGTCTTTATTTCCTACACTGTATATCAGTTAGCTCAGTTCAAGTTCAGCAACGTCCTGAAATTGTTGAGTCTGAAACCAGAGATGCTTAGGTGAGAGGAGATCTGTTGAGTAACCACTGAGGCTGGCCTGACTCCCATCAGGATTATAACAACATTCAGCTGAGCCTTCGTTGGCTGCCCTACCCTCTGGCATGTTCTACCCTCTGGGTGTGCTAGCAAGACATATTAGCACTCTGCCTTCTCTTTCAGAACTTCTTATTTAAAACAGACATGTGTACAGTTGACCCAGTATCAGCTGTAGAATGGCAGAGCTGAAAAGGGACCATTTATTTATTTCAATCTCCTTTTTTTAAGACAAAGAGACGAAGATCAAAGGAGACTCATAGCTACCATGTATTGAAACTTACTATGGGCCTGACACTGTGCCAAACGTATTTTATGCAGTGTTACGTATTTTATGCAGTGTTTCATATAATCCTCAGGCAGGCTATTTTAATCCTTCCCCATTGACAGGTGAAGAAACTGAGGCTCTGAGGGGTGAGCTAATCAGTGGGAGAACCAGAACTTGAATCCAGGCAAGTCCACCACAAAGCATGTGTTCTCCCGCACACCCAGCATTGGGCTTTCCCATGAGATGCTGCTGACGGGCGGGCAGATGCTGGCCCGTGCCCCCTGTGGACCTGCAAACAGTGCCACCTTGTCCTTTGCACAGGGTGCCCCCTGCACTCAGGTTCTGCTCCTCTCAGGAATCAGCAAGGAGCTGCTCTTCCCAGTAGTGGTGATTATTTTCAGAAGTGTGAAATGAGTGTAAAACAGGATATTTTCAGTAAAATTATCTCCCTGCTTATACAATGAAGTGGTACCAAAATCACTGACTTTGAGCAGGTATGTGGTTAGTTTTTGCAAAGATGAATCTAGTTCTCCTATGACAAACATTTGGAAGTCTCATGGGTTCCTGGATGTCAGAGGCCAGAGCTTCAGGGGGCTGGGCTCATGCTCCCCCTGGAGTGAGTACTCCCAGCATCCTAGAGCACAGAGGAGTCAGCCCTAGATTTAAATGAACAGGCCTGAAGTCAAATCCGGCCTGAGGATCTAACCCTATGAGCAAGTTACTTATCCTCTCAGTTAACCTTCCTTAAGGAGCTGCAGGGATTAATGATGTAACATACATGAAAGCATCCGACGCCAATATCTTGGTCAAGCTTCAGAACCCACCAGCCATGTCCTTCCTCCCCCATAATCTTATTCTGAGAATTAACCATATTTTAAGGTGAAACGTATTTAAGAGTCCGTGGAATCATCATTGAAAATTCTAGACCACAGCAGACTCTAGGAAATATATGGGCTTGAGAAAGTAACCCTTCCCACTCCCCAGCCCTACAATGTGTTTATCATACGTTGAATCTGGTAACACTTGCTTTGGCCCGTTGTTTCTTCAGTGGGCATTTACCGAATGCCAGTTCTGTGCCAGGCATAGTACAGAGCTTTCAGGAGAGACACTCTACTTGCCAACACAGCGCATCTAATGCAGAGCCCAGGAAGCTACAAGTCTGGGGTTCTTTCCTATCACAAGCCAGAGAGCACTTGTTCTCTTCTGAGGCTCCCCCTGTTCCCTGGTTCTACCTTAAAGCATCCATCTAAGGGATGTGGTCCCCCTTGCACCCCACCAGCTCCGGCGGCTTGGCCCAAGGGATTGCTGGGGGATTGCGCAAGTCTGTTGGCCCAGCTTCAACTTGCCGTGGCTTTTCCCCAACTCGTGGCCACAGCCAAAGAAAGCCTGGCACCCGGCTCGGAGGCCCAGATGGTGCAGCCGCCAGGAGGGACTTACCCGATGGCTTGTCTGTGGAGGACGGGAGGCTGGTGAGGGTGGGCATGGTGGGCAGAGGGGGCGGCAGCACCTTCAGGTTCTGGTCACTCTGGATCTCGTTGGTGGAGATCTGATTGGTGATGCGATTGTAGGGGGACGGTTGGTAGACCTGGGGCGGGGCGGCGTGGGGCGGCTGGGGCACGGGCCTGGCCTCGGGCACACGCTGGCAGTGCTCCTCCAGCTGCGCGATGATCTCTGATTGGTTGTGGGCCAGCGTGGCCAGGTGCTGGTACTTGTGCTCCAGGTCCTTGTACTTGCTGGCCAGCTGCAGCATGTCGGCCGTCTGGTTCAGGATGCGGTTCTCCAGCTGGGACAGCTCCAGCGCGTTGTCGCGCTTGCGGATGATCTCGTGCAGGAGCTGCATGTACAGCTGCGTGACCCTGGAGTTCATGTTGCGGCTCTCCTTGCGCAGCAGCTTCACCTCGCTCACGATGCCGCCGTCTACCTCCACCAGCTGCTGCAGCGTCTCGATCTGCCGCTTCTGCTTGAGCAGCTCGCTATTGAGCAGCTCCAGCTCCTGCCTGTGCACACGGTTCTCCAGGAGCACCTCAGGCTCCTTGGAGTTGACGCAGATGGCGCCTGTGACCCGCTGCTGGGGCACAATGAAGGTGTAGGTGCACTTGTCCGGGGACTCGCCGGCCCGCTTGTACCTGTTCAGGTAAATGAACTCGCTTGGCGAGCCCTCCTCGGTGCCCTCCAAACCATCCTTCTGGCCGGCAGCAGCTCCCAAGGCGGCCAGCAGTCCCAGCCACCAGCATGTCACACACAGCGGCCTCATGGTCCTTGCAAAATGGTGGTTCCTCTTTGCGAACAGAGCCTGTGAAAACCTGAAAGGGAACAGAAGGGGAGACTCAGTAACGGTCCTGTCACTGCCAGTGGCCTGTGCCATAAATGAGCTCAGCCCTCTCGCCAGGCAGATATTTCCAAGAATGCAGCTTCAGAAGGCAGCCCTTCTGGAAGCCACAGAAAGAGATAGGCAGGCCCCAGCAGAGACAGAAAGGAAAAGGGAGGACGCCAGGGCCTCTGATCGCGGGGAGGCCATGGCCCTGCAGCTCCTAGGCAGCTCCGGTGCCTGCAGCCTGAAGCAGGGAGGGGAGGCAGGAAGGCTGTCTGATTCTATGCATTTACCCGTAACCCCCTGGATGTTCCCTTTGTCACACCGAAGACAGCTGTGATGAGTCAGCATTCTCTGTGAGCCCTTCTGCTGGACCCCACGCTCCACGAGGGCAGGCACTCCGATTCAATCCTGTATCCCCAGGATGCTGCACTAAGCAAGCGCTCAGCAAATATTTGTTAAATGAATGAATTGCTAAAAATAGTATGGAATGTGTTCAGTTTGTAATGGACTGTGTCAATGGAAGGATGTGTCCAGTCCCATGGCTTTGGTCTGTGTGTTAGCTGAGCTGCGGAGCCCAAACAGGAACAAACAACCAAACTCTTCTAAATCCAAATATTTGCCACAGCCAGTAACTGCACAGTCCGGATCACTGCAATGTGATTAAACCAGGCGGGAGCAGAACACAGACGTGCCTTCAGAGTTGTTTCAGTTCTGTCCTTGGACCCCTCATACCTTCCCCAGATACCCATCCAACATCTGTGGTGTGCCAGGCAGTGTGCTGGCTGCTGGAGGTATTGCTGCACACAGGACAGAGCCCGCCCCTGCCCTCACGGGGCTTACCCATCGTTACAGAGTCCCTAAGTGCCATGAAGCGGAAGTAGCATGTGCTATGAAAGGGTACCGGGGAACTGACCTCATCGGAGGGGTCAGGGAAGCTTCCCTGAGAAAGTGACCTATACGCTGACCCTAGAGGGATGAGTAGGAGTCAGCCAGGCCAACAGGGAGGGCACGGACATGCGCAGATCCCCCTCTCGCCTACTCAAGGACATTGCTCCGGCGTCTCCCCCACCTCTCCCGCATGATTACATCGTCCCTACAGTCACGCTCAACTTAAGTTATTTCTCTCAACTTAAAGAATGTCCTTTCATGACCTTACATCCTTCTTCAGCTACTATTCCGTTTCTCTGCTCCCCTGTTTAGCAAAACCCTTCAAAGAGTTTCACTCGTGACTCTTTGCAGAAAGCCCCTCTCGTCCTGTTCTCTCGAGCCCGCTCCCAGCAGGCCTGTCCCCCTCCCTCCACTCTAAGTGTGCTCTGCACAGGACCACCGGTGGCCCCGCTTGCAAGCCCAAATGGCCAGGTCTTGGTCCTCGTCCTTACCCAGCCTCTCAACACTGTGGGACATGGCAGGTCACTCCCTTCTTGGACTCCCTTTCCCGAACACCATCCCTCTCCTCCGATCTCACTGGCTGTTCCTTCTCAGTCCCCTTTGCTAGCTCATCCTCCTATTCCTGTCCTGGGAGGCCCAAAGCTCAGTCCTCCTCTCTACCGCCGTGCTCTCATCCAGTCTGGCGCTGTGATTACCTTCAAGCATTGATAACTCCCACATTTATTTCTCCAGCCTGGACCTCACCCCTTGGCTCTAAACTCATACATGCAACTACATCTTTGACGTTTCCACTCAGCTACCTGTTTCCCCTCGGACGTGATTTATCCAGAAATGGATCCCTCCATCCCAACCTGTTCATCCCAGTTTTTCCTGTTAGTAAATGGCAACTTCATTCTTCTAGTTACTCAGGCCAACAATCTTGAAGTCATCCTTGACTCCTCCTTTCCTTCCTTCCTTCCTTCCTCCCCTCCCCTCCCCTCCCCTTTCCTCCCTTCCTCCCTCCACACATCTAATTCACTACCAAATTATAATAGCAATATCCTGGAACTATTCCCAGAATCCTACTGCTTCTCCCACCTCCCCTGTAACCTGGTGCAACCCGTCACCTCTCCCCTGGACCTAACTGGCCTCCCTGCTCCTTTGCTTGCTTAAAATTGTGACTTCACTACCTTCCCCTCCAGAGTCCTCATCACCGTCAGACATAGTGTCTCCCTACCCCACCCCTGTGAATGTATTAATAAGCTGCACCAGGGCAGGAGGGTGTCTGTTCTGGTCACTGCTCCATTCACAATGCCTAGCACGTGGCCAGTAATACTAGGAGCTCAGTAAGTATTTGTGGACTGAAAGAAAGACGCGCCCACCATTGGTTGCAAGCAGCGGGGAGTGCTGTGGGCGGAATCTAGCAGGTGGGGGCTGCGGAGTCCTCAAGTGAATGCCTGAGGGTGTGGGAGTGGCACAGGAGGCCATTTATTCTATTTATTCATAACTTTCATAATGTCCATTTACTGAGTGCTCACTAAGTACCTGACCCTGCACTAAACATTTTCCAAGTGTTTTCTACTTTACTGAATTCTCACAATGTCTTTTTAAGGTAGACACTCTTGTTACATCCATTTCACAGATAAGGAAACTGAGACTCAGAGAAGCTGAGTGAGTTGCCTAAGGTCACACAGCTGGAAGGTGGCAGAGCCAGGACTCAGCCCGGGTCTGACGTACTCAAACCTATTGACGTAAGAAATGTCAAAACCTGTAGAGAACTTTTATGATATTTATTTGAGCTAAACTGATGACAGTTACCGGGAAGCAAAATCTCAAGGGACTGAGAAAATGCTCTGGAGAACGACGGCTTTACAGCTTATTTTATACATTAGAATCAAAGGAGGAGACATAAGGAGGTTACATGAAATCCAGTGGCGGTAGATAAGGGGGCGGGAGAAAGCAAAGCCGGGAAATCTCTACAACTGGATAAAAAGCAAACTGAAGAAACACATACTTCTTATACGTTTGTGGGTACAGGATAGTTAATTAACCTTTACAGCACATAGAGATGGTATGTGGGCAGCAAGATAGCAATGAGGGGTTCTGTGGTCTCTGCTCTGGCACCAGCGATTGTGCCTTCAGGGAGTCTAGAAAAGAAAATTACGTTGACATTTCAAAGGTATGTTATCTTAGATGCAAAAAGACAATAGACAGGCTCACCTGAGGGAAAGATTGATCTTTGTCAGGGAAGCTACAGGCCTAGGATATGACGACCTGCCATGACCCGCTTTTAGTTAGGAATTTTTATGTTCAGACCATCCTATGTGGTGACTTTTAGTTTCTGAGTCTGTAGCACCCGCCATGCAGGCCTCCCCTGAGCTTGTCAGGTTTAGTATGTGTCCCCTTTCTCTTCCACAAACCTTCAAACTCTTAATGACTACACAGAAATGTACTTAGTCTGGTTTTTAGTAATAAAGTATTGGCATCACCACTTTCTGATTTCACAAGAATTTACGCTAACATAACAATCACAACTCAGGACCTGAAGGTTGTCTTCCCGGGGCCCCACCTGGGCCAGCCAGTGGGCTGAGCTGATTTCCGCTCAGCGTGGTTCCGATGGCCCGCTCAGGCCTTTCGGGCCAGGCAGGGAAAGGTGTTCCGGAGCCTCTAGTTGGGGCTGGGCTATGAGGCAGGGCTGCAGTGACGTTAGTGGAAACGGGCTGAGTTTGTGAGTGTTTGCCTGGTTTCCAACGCCGCAGCCACGCCTGACCCAGAACAATGGGGAGGAGCCGCCCTCCTGGCTAGGGTGGGCCTGCCCGCTGCCTTCCAGGGCTGTTCACCTGTGGCAGCTGGTGGCAAACGCCTTTCTGTGCCGAGGCCGAGCCTGAGGCAGGCATGGGTCCCCGCATTGGCCAAGAAACTGCCAGAGGCCCAGGGAGGCAAGTTGACTCCAGGAAAGGGTTGACTTCCAAACATTCCCAGGGCAGGCCTTAAGACCAGGCGGGGAGGCGCTATTTATCATGGAGTTGTGTCCCCTCCCAGGTGGCGCTCTCGCGGCTTCCTGGGTGAAGCTCTGTGCCCCTGGCCCTGAGATTCCGAAGGCTGCCTCTTCTGTGAAATGGGGTGAGCCAACCCATCTGGCATACTAGGTCAGGCACAGGGAAGTGCTTCCAAACTAATAACGTGATAGTGGCATTGTAACAAGGACAACAAAGCCGGGCTAACAGTGAGAAGCTCTGGCCACGCGCCGTGTGTGTCAGCACTTCTACCATCTCCTTGAACCCTTCCCATCACCCCCTGAGATACCGCGATCAATAATCCCATTCCGCAGAGAAGGCGCTTGTTCCGTGTCGCAGAACGGGGCTCTGACCAGAAGGTCTGTCTGGCCTCACCTCTCAGCCCCAAAGTAGCCCGCTGGCTGAAGGGTCCTAGCTGCCTTGGTGTCCCAGGCATGTCACACAGAGCTGAGCACCGACTGGGGAGGCAAGAGGCATGTAAACGCCACCAGAGACTGTGCTGTCTGTAAAGAATAGTTTTTGCGATTGTTCAATTAAAAAGTGAACTAAACTTGACAATTAACAGGCTTCTAGGTTCCCAGGCCTTTTGGATACACATGACCTGATTTAATCATTACAACATTCAGAGCTAGTTAGTAGTATGATGCCGTTTGAGGGTGCAGAAACTGAAGCTCAGAAAGATGTCAGAGAGCTTACTCAAGGTCGCATTGTGAGCGGTGGGGCCAGTCATGAAGCTACACGATTCCAGGTCTTTCGGATACATTTCCATGGGGTCCGGGGTTTGACAGGACTGACTTGGAGCTGCTGGGTTACAGGAAGTAAGGGAAGGACCCGGGCGCGTGCTGGATGCCTGACATACATAGTCCCAGGTAATCCAGTGAGGTGGTTATAAATGGGGACACAGAAACCCAGACAGGCGCAGTGGCTTTCCCAGGAGCACAAAGCAGGTAAGAGTTAGCGCTGACCCAGCCTAGAGCTCTGGTCAGCTTGACACTGAGGGCTGTGCTCTGCGCTGCCCTCAGCCTCGGAGTAATTTATTTTCCTTAAAGATTCCAGTGTGCCCCCACACCCCCGCCGCCCCCCTCAGCTTTTTGCTAGTTTGGCA